GAGATGTTTCTACAACTTGATTCAAGTCCACCTGTGGTAAATTAAATTGATTGGACATGATTTGGAAAGGCACACACCTGTCTATATAAGGTCCCACAATTGACAGTGCATGTCAGTGCAAAAACGAAGTCATGAGGTTGAAGGAATTGTCCGTAGAGCTCCGAGACAGGATTGTGTCGAGGCATAGATCTAGGGAGGGGTACCAAAAAATGTCTGCAGCATTGAAGGTCCCCAAGGACACAGTGGCTTCCATCATTCTTAAATGGAAGAAGTTTGGAATCACCAAGACTCTCCGTAGAGCTGGCCGCCCGGCCAAACTGAGCAATCGGGGGAGAAGGGCCTTGGTCAGGGAGGTGACCAAGAAGCCGATGGTCACTCTGACAGAACTCCAGAGTTCCTCTGTGGAGATGGGAGAACCTTCCAGAAGGACAACCATCTCTACAGCACTCCACCAATCAGGCCTTATGGTAGAGTGGCCAGACGGAAGCCACTCCTCAGTAAAAGGCACATGACAGCCCGCTTGGAGTTTGCCAAAATACACCTAAAGGACTCTCAGACCATGAGAAACAAGATTCTCTGGTCTGATGAAACCAAGATTTAACTCTTCGGCCTGAATGCCAAGCGTCAAGTCTGGAGGAAACCTGGCACCATCCCTACGGTGAAGCATGATGGTGGCAGCATCATACTGTGGGGATGTTTTTCAGCGGCAGGGACTGGGAGACTAGTCAGGATCGAGGGAAAGATGAACGGAGCAAAGTAGAGAGAAATCCTTAATGAACCTGCTCCAGAGCGCTCAGGACCTCAGACTGGGGCGAAAGTTCACCTTCCAACAGGACAACGACCCTAAGCACACACCCAAGACAACGCAGGAGTGGCTTCGGGACAAGTCTCTGAATGTCCTTGAGTGGCTCAGCCAGAACCCGGACTTGAACCCGATCGAACATCTCTGGAGAGACCTGAAAATACCTGTGCAGCGACGCTCCCCATCCAATCTGACAGAGCTTGAGAGGATCTGCAGAGAAGAATGGTAGAAACTCCACAAATACAGGTGTGCCAAGCTTGTAGCGTCATACCCAAGAAGACTTGAGGCTGTAATCACTGCCAAAGGTGCTTCAATAAAGTTCTGAGTTAAGGGTCTGAATACTTATGTAAATGTGATATTTCTGTTCTGTAGTTTTAATAAATGTGCAAAAAATTATAAAAACCTGTTTATGCTTTGTCATTATGGCATATTGTGTGTAAATTGATGAGGGGAAAAAACTATTCTATCCATTTTGGAATAAAGGCTGTAACGTAACAAAATGTGGAAAAAGTCAAGGGGTCTGAATTCTTTCCGAATGCACTGTAAGTGGACTATAACTGAAGTAAGAGTGAACCTATTCATAGCTGAGTTATGCTGTTGTTAGGGTTATTTATAGCATTTTTGAATGTCACTTTCTGAGCCAGAGAAAGTCATATCTCAACAGCTATTTGTGTGTGAGTGAGTGTGCGTAACATACAGTACATGATGCTCGTAGGGTATCTGTTTAGTTTAGCAGAGATACTGTATATTCCTCCTGAAAGCTGTCACCCTGTCCTATTAACACGTCTAGACTGCTAGTGGTGTGGCTGTGAGAGTTGAGAGGAGGGGATAACCTTACCTCTGGTGTCTTCGTCCTCAATAGTGGTGTTGGTACTTTCAGAGGATTCCTAGAAACAACACACAGACAGGTTCAGAGATTCACACGCAATTACAGCAGCTGTTGTTCTCTCCACACAAGGGTGAGTGGAAGATCCGAGTCAACACACCACACACACACACACACCTCAGACAGACAACCATCCTCCTCCCTGTCTGCACCTTTAAGAGAGAGAGAACAGGCTATTTGGTTAATCAGAGGTCTGGGTGGTAAGAGGAGTAGGGAGAGAAATGGGAGGGAGGAACAGGTGGGAGGGAAACACCTAGAGAAGGAGATGGGTTACCCCACGATGACCTCCACCCCAAGAGCATATAAAAAAGCAGCGGGATTAGGCAACGTTAGAGATGGGATGTTCACACACAAAAATAAAAAAAGAAAGTCCAGCTCCATTTTGAATGACAGCTTTATTCGCTTGTTCTTTGGTTCGTTTGGATTTTTAAAAGGTATTATCACTTTCCCTGTTAGGCGGAAAGCCGAGCGCGGCAGAGACGCGCGGTCAAGAGGGTGGGGGGATATCACACTCACCATCAGCTGGACGCTGGAACTGGACTTCCTTTTCTGGAAGAGAAATGAGAAGAGGTTAGACAGGAACACACAGAATGAGATGGAGACGGAAGCCAGGGAGCAACAGAGGGAGGAGAAGGAAACCTCCATGCTGCAGAGGGATGACGTGTGTGTGTGTGGGTTTGAGGCTGAAGGTGTTTGTGTGTGTTTGGGGTTCGTATTGCCACGGTGCCCTTGTCGTCTCCCCCGGACACCTCGCTGAGCCGTCTGGTTGGCAGGCCGTGTGGCGGTGTGCCAGTGTGTCATGTAGGAAACCTCCGGGCCAGGCAGGGCTGTGGTCAGAGAGGAATGCCTTTGATAAGGCAGAGGTGGCAGGTCTGAGTGGCCAGCACCATGCCTCACTAATCCCAGTATCAGACACCCTGGAATGGACTGGCTGCTCCTTAAGGTCCCCGGGGGAACTGGGGGATTACCACAGGTGGAGCGTATCCCTGATACATGTACAGTATCAGTCAAAAGTCTTGACACACCTACTCATTCCAGGGTTTTTCTTTATTTTTTACTATTTTCTACATTATAGAATAATAGTGAAGACATCAAACCTATGAAATAACACATATGGAATCATGAAGTAACCACAAAAGTGTTTGTGACAGCAACTTTGCCTTGATGACAGCTTTGCACACTCTTGGCATTCTCTCAACCAGCTTCATGAGGTAGTCACCTGGAATGCATTTCAATTAACAGGTGTGCCTTGTTAAAAGTAAATTTGTGGAATTTCTTTCCTTCTTAATGCATTAGAGCCAATTGTTGTCTTGTGACAATGTAGTTGTGGTATACAGAATATAGCCCTATTTGGTAAAATACCAAGTCCATATTATGGCAAGAACAGCTCAAATAAGCAAAGAGAAACAACAGTCCATCATTACTTTAAGACATGAAGGTCAGTCAATCCAGGACATTTCAAGAACTTTGAAAGTTTCTTCAAGTGGAGTCGCAAAAACCATCAAGGGCTATGATGAAACTGGCACTCATGAGGACCGCCACAGGAAAGGAAGACCCAGAGTTACCTCTGCTGCAGAGGATAAGTTCATTAGAGTTACCAGCCTCAGTAATTGCAGCCCAAATAAATGCTTCACAGAGTTCAAGTAACAGACACATCTCAACATCAACTGTTCAGCGGAGACTGCGTGAATCAGGCCTTCATGGTCGAATTGCTGCAAAGACACCACTACTAAAGGACACCAATAAGAAGAAGAAACTTTCTTGGGCCAAGAAACACAAGCAATGGACATTAGAACATTGGAAATCTGTCCTTTGGTCTGATGAGTCCAAATTTGAGATTTTTGGTTCCAACCGCCGTGTCTTTGTGAGACGCAGAGTAGGTGAACAGATGATCTCTGCATGTGTGGTTCCCACCGTGAAGCATGGAGGAGGACGTGTGATGGTGTGGGGGTGCTTTGCTGGTGACTGTCTGTGATTTATTTAGAATTCAAGGCACACTTAACCAGCATGGCTACCACAGCATTCTGCAGCGATACGCCATCCCATCTGGTTTGCGCTTAGTGGGACTATCATTTCTTTTTCAGCAGGACAATGACCCAACACACCTCCAGGCTGTGTAAGGGCTATTTGACCAAGAAGGAGAGTGATGGAGTGCTGCATCAAGTGATCTGGACTCCACAATCCCCCGACCTCAACCCAATTGAGATGGTTTGGGATGAGTTGGACCACAGAGTGAAGGAAAAGCAGCCAACAAGTGCTCAGCATATGTGGGAACTCCTTCAAGACTGTTCGAAAAGCATTCCAGGTGAAGCTGGTTGAGAGAATGCCAAGAGTGTGCAAAGCTGTCATCAAGGCAAAGGGTGGCTACTTTGAAGAATCTAAAATCTATTTTCATTTGTTGAACACTTTTCTGGTTACTACATGATTCCATATGTGTTATTTCATAGTTTTGATGTCTTCACTATTATTCCACAATGTAGAAAATAGTAAAAAAAATAAAGAAAAACCCTTGAATGAGTAGGTGTGTCCAAACTTTGGACTGTTACTGTATATAGTAACTCACACACACTAACTCACAGAGACACACTGATAATACTGGAACAGACAAACAACACCAACAAATAGACAAACTCTCCTTTTGGCTCTCAGACAGATAAGATGTCCAAGCACTAATCTCATTAGCTACCTATCTAATTGACAATATGCTGAACATTGAATTATGTTGCAGCAAATCATGTTGTTGAACAGAGTTGATATGAATCTTCTGTTCCCCGGTGTACTACTGCATATGTTGGTAGGGGAAATAGTCAGGAAATGTGTGCGTTTACATCTTTGTAAACATAAGGACTCATGTCAAGAAAGATGACTGAACTTGGACTGCTTCTCCGCCAGCTGTCTCTGTGCATCTGAACCAGTGTGGCATGAGGTCAAAACTAAACATAACACCTCTCCACTCCACCTCCCAGTCTCACTCCAAGGCATGGGGCCGAGACAATAGACTGTGTACAGGGGCAAACACACAGGGAAGCGGGGGCTATTAGCAGCTCCAGTTCTGCACACTGGGACTGTACTGGAGGAGATCAGGGCTTTGGGTGGGGCCAGCATGTTCAGAGAGAATGGAGCAGACAGTCAAACTCCCATAATCCTATATTGTACTTGGATCTGTGTTCACACGTTTTCAAAGAGCATGTTTGATTATTCCGTTTTGCAGTGAAGGTTTGATGTGAAAATATCTTTCACCTTTCACAAAATGTTGAATAACGTCCAGATTTTGAAATGACAATGGTCTATCGATAGCGTGTGATATATACACTAAAAGGCTAGCCTCCAAAAGTCCTCCTCCAGGTCAGGTTTATTCCACTGTGAGAAGAGAACCCTGTGGAGCTGGAGTCCTACCTTCACACCATCCGTCTTCTTGTTGGCCTTGTTACCTCCTGCGCGGGACACAAAGAGAAACAGGGACAGGGCGATCAAACAGGGCACAAAAGCCCAGAAGAGGAGGGCGAAGGGCATGGCCAACACTCTCAGTCAAATGCAAAGAGTTAGAAGAAAACGGAGTAAATCAGATCCATATGTCTCCTGGGAAATAAAATGTGATATTTTCTTCAAATCAAGCCCTCTTCCTGATCTCCACAGATCATAAACTCGATGAGACAGTCATATTGCCAAAGAGTCAATAGGAGTATCCAAACCAAGCGGGTTGTTGAAGATTCTCTCAGGTCATTCAACTGGTCAAACAAGAGTATTTAGGGAAATAAAGCACAAAAAAAATAAAATAATAATAATAATCCAACGGTTTACTCTATTGTGTAACACCAGAGGTTCTGGCGATCCAGACTGGGCTCTGCTACAGAGCCTGGCCGGGTGGCTGAGAGGGATCCCTGATATAGGAGCACTTGAGATCGGGAGATAGCATGGGCACATTCCAGCCCCACTCCCTCACTCTCTAAAGTTTGGCTGTGACCAATAAAGGACACCACGTCCTGTTGTTCCTAGTGCTCTGGTCCAGTTTGTTACCCGCTCCCTCTACCTATCCTCTTCCCCTCCTCCTCCTCCTCGTCTCTGAGCTGGAATCATGTATTTTATGTCCTCTTCCTGAGAGCTGAGCCAGGGTGTTTCCCCCACTTTATTTTCATCAACATGGCTACTAATTTTAGCCCTGGAGTGGGCCTGGGCCATGTGGAGCATAGCCTCTCGTCAGCTGGGGCGTAGCCTGATCCCCAGCCTCGCAGCCCGCTGGCACTGTGACCCCACTCTCTCCTGCTGCTGGGGGGTGTGGCTGTATGCCGATGGGATTTCCCCCTGGTCTGCTCCCGTCTGCAGTGGAATGGCTCTGGTAACCCCAAGCACTGGCCTGAGATCCGCTTTCCGTACCCTAATCCAAATCGCAGTAATTATCATCTTAAAAGCAAATCTGGCCTTGGACCAGCGTTTATACAGCACTTCCGACCCACCCCAAGCATAATAGGAGAAGTTAATAGGCTCGGAAAAAAAGCTATTAAAAGCTTAAAGGGGAGATTTGGCTCCAGCCACAATATCTGGATAGCGGGGGCTTTGTAAATAGGCATGAAGCTGTAATCTTGCCGTATGCAGTATCTGTGGACTGTAGTTCTCAACAGCTATCTGGAGGGTAAAGATAGACTGGGAAAAAGGGAAAGATGAATGGTAGTGCTTAGAGGTGCTGAGATGGTTTTAAGTCCACAAGGCATCTAGGGTCAGTGCTGTGGGGGTTGGCTTTCAGACAGAATTTCCTGGCAGGTGGGAGATATGGGGTGGGGGTCTATTCCTGACTGGTATGAGAATGCGACCCATGTAAAGATGGCCCCTCACTGCTATTACTTTCCCCTGTTGTCCCCTTCAGGTCCATGTATTTAATATAAGAATGGTTATGTGGAGCTATGAGGGGAGATAAACTCTGCTGGATGGAGATTGGTAGAGATGTGTAAACTGTGAGATTGGAAGGGGATCCCTCCATCTCTACGTCGGTGAAGGTGCCTACATTGATCCTGGGATTGTATGGCCTTATGTTGTAAGGGGAGCCTGCCAAAGACACATACAGTAAGGCTACATGCCAGATGGAACTCCATCCACGTTATTTCGAAACAATGTTCAACTGTGACTCCTTCATTAGAGGATTTTGACAAAATATTGCAGATTACAGTAACATAGGGATGGTAAATAGTCACATTATGTTCCACTAGTTCAGTGGTGGATTCCATGGCACAGAACCATCTGATTGAAGTCATGGAGGGACTGAGGACCCAAAAGCAGATGGCTCAGCCACAGTAAGTGGGTTGTGATGACAACAACACATGCACCTTTGTCAATCAACAATCTACATTGTGATAACAACTAGCCTTTTAGTTAACAGATGGACAGCCTCTTCTAGCCTCCCTATTATCATTAAGCTATTGCTTTACAGACTTAACACAAACTGTCCTTGAATGATTTTAGTCTCTGGAGAAAATTAAATGTCCTACAATGTGTCCGTTTTGAACAGAAATCACAGACATCATTCCAATGAATGTGACAGGGAATGTGTTGGTATATCCGGACCTAAGTGTCTGACAGGGGAGTGTCAATTGGCATGGGGAAGTGTCCTGATGCATGACCAGTGAGTTCCACAAGCTGTCATCATCTCCTCCCTGCTCTATGGGCTTGGAGCCCCCCAGTCTAGGAGCAGCCATCTGAGACCATGTCACTCCCCTAGGATAGTGACCTCCCTAGGGACACCGTTAAGCTGTCCTCTAGTCTGTAGCTCAGTTGGTAGAGCATGGCACTTGCAATGCCAGGGTAGTGGGTTTGATTCCCAGGACCACCCGTACGTAAAATAAAAAGGAAGCATGCATGACTGTATGTTGCTTTGGATGAAAGCGTCCGCTAAATGGCATATTATTATTATTAAGCCCACTCTCACTCAGGAATGGAGAGGAGGAACGTTCTGACAAGGCACCTCTACATGACTTACCAGAGAAGTTCCGGGTCGCCAACATGGTGGTGAGAATGGCACCCTTTAAACAAAGAGAGATGGATCGTTACATAAGATGAAAAAACAAAAGGATTCCTAAAAAATTACAGTTTATAATGCCACAGTGTTCTTGTTGCCAACCAAGCTTGGCGAGAATATATTGTTAACATCTTGAGTAGGTTGCTTACATGTAATATCAACAGCTTGGATTGCTGCTTACTGTCAAGGTAATGACCTAGAGTACTTCAACAGTTGCTATGTCTTAACAGCACCAAATAAAATGTGCATTGGCAAACTCTATTCAAAAAGCAGTGGGTATTACTGCATGAATGATATCACAATTCAGTAGTTTTAAGGTGTAGGTTGTTCAGATTTTCTAAGTGGAAGCTGAATGTATTACAATTAAATGGATCTGCCTAAAAGGGGTTGTGTAAAAGGGCAAACACAAAAACTGTACTGACAAAACCAAATGCATTAGACAGTTTCCATGTGAAACAAATGAAACAAAGAGACGTCCTCTCATCTTGACTCGTTTAATGAAAGCCATTTTGCCTCAATAGATCGCGCCACGAAGGCCATTTTGCCTTGATAACATTTCCGTCCTCATTCAAACCGTCCTATTGGACTGAAACCCCCATCACTAGTGGCATAGTATGTCTGATATTTTTTCCCTACTCTGGACAATACAGAGATTACCATGTCATGTTCCAGTATCATATCTACACTTCATTTTGCTCCCAAAGCTCTACTATACCTTCAGCTTCCTTCTGGCGTTGAACTTTTTAAGGCATTCCACCGTCTCCTGTCTGTGCATGCAGGAGGCCACAGTGGAGCGGTGCTGTAGACAGAGAGAAATCGAGAAACAAAAGTCTGGTTAGACACAGGGCCGAATCTTACTGCACATTGTGATCATTGTGAGAATGTACGGATGTGCATGCTCTGTACTCACTGAGATCCACGGGTGCTTGAGGACCTCAGAGGCTGTGATGCGCTTGGCAGGGTTGATGGTCAACATCTTGTTAATGAGATCCTTGGCCTCTGGTGTAACAGTGTCCCACTCCGGCGAGGGGAACTACAGTATATATATAAGAGGAGACATAGCACAGAGCTGATGGCCTTTACATATACGTAAATCATGGGAATTAACGCTGGTGATTATATTCGAATGAGCGAAAATCCATTTTCCAAACGATTTTCCAAAGTCTGTAGGCAGAGCAGAGGAATAAGAAAGGGTGCCATGGGATACTATGACTGTAATTGAAGAAGAAAAAACATGCAGATCTTTTTTTCCTACCAGCAGAAAGCCACCATTATACCAGGCACTGAATTTAAGATGATTAATCTCCTTGGAAACTGGTGCGTTACACAATCCTGGAGAGACACTGCATTTCAACTGTTCCCCAGCAGCCGTGAGCAGTAGAGTAATGGAGGGGTATCGTATTGTTAAGAACAGGAGCTAGGAGGGATGTGACTCACATCGTAGGCCCCAGCCTTGATCTGCTGGTACAGTCTGTGTTGGTCCTCATCCCAGAATGGAGGGTAGCCCACCAGCAAGATATACAGGATCACACCTGGCACAGACATCATACATCACTATACAATAGGAGACTGTTCATCACTCTAGTTACTCAAGAATGAACTAGCATATATCACATACATCTCTCTATCTTTGGTGAAAATAAAAGGTTCTGCAGAAATCGATACTTCTGAACCTTGATCCCTCACATATGTATGCATGTACAGTATGTGTGTGTGTGTGTATGTGGTTACATTAATATCTCTGAGCAATTCTATTAGTATAAAATAATATAATTTCCCCATTTTTTTTTGCATTCAATATAGTTAGTATTTGTATTATTTATTTATTAATGTATTAATTTATTATTATTATTGTTATTATTATTATTATTATTATTATTATTATTATTATTATTATTATTATAACATTTTTTTTGCTCCTCTTTATCAAGGGTGCCAATAATTTTTTGACTTGACTGTATGTCTTCCCCTCACTGACTTGACACCCCTCACTGCCAACTCCCTTGCCCTCGGTATCTCAGATGGGTTAACCATACACACAGCGGGGTGCACATACGGATCCAGTTCCATGTCAGGACATTAAAAGTCTGAGAATGAACCCCTACCCATTTCATCTCCCCCTTCCCATAATGTAGCCCCCCTCAGCCATCAACCTTATGTCTCGTGTGGCTTCCTCTCACTCCTCCGAAGCCAGCGAAGGTCACAGACCCATTGGCCATGAAGCCCACGTGCATCTCAAGGTGAACAGCAGCCCAAGGCCCGTATCAAAAGGCAGGGAAATATAGCTGTGCATAGCGATGAGCCTTCTCCTGCTTCAGAAGACCAATGTGCACAGAGTGATAATTGATTTACATTTTTTATCAAACCACATGGTTAAACTGCTCATTCTAGATTATGCCGGACAACAACCTCTCCCTCAACGTCAGCAAGACAAAGGAGCTGATCGTGGACTACAGGTAACGGAGGGCCGAGCACGCCCCCATCCACATCTACAGGGATGTAGTGGAGCGGGTCAAGAGCTTCCAGTTCCTCTGTGTCCACATCACTAAGGAATTAACATGGTCCACACACACCCACACAGTCGCGAAGAAGGCACGACAATGCCTCTTCCCTCTCAGGAAGCTGAAAAGATTTGGTATGAAAAGATCTTCAAAAAGTTATACAGCTGCACCATTGAGAGCATCTTGACTGGCTGCATCACCGCTTGGTATGGCAACTGCTTGGCATCCAACCGCAAGGCGCTAAAGAGGGTAGTTCATTCGGCCCAGCACATCACTTAGGCCGAGCTCCCTGCCATCCAGGACCTCTATATCTGGCGGTGTCAGATGAAGGCCCTAAAAAAGACTCCAGCCACCCAAGTCACAAACTGTTCTCTATGCTACCGCATGGCAAGCGGTACCAGTGTACCAAGTCTGGAACCAACAGGACCCTGAACAGCTTCTACCCCAAGCCATAAGACTACTAAATAGTTAACCAAATAGCTACCCAAACTATCTGCATTGACCCTCTTTGCACTAACTACTTTGACTCATCACATACATTGCTGCTAATGTTTATTATTTATCCTGTAGCCTAGTCATTTTACCCCTACTTATATGTCAGTGGAGGCTCCTCAGGGGAGGAAGGGGAGGACCATTGGAAATGTGTCCACTATAAACTCTCGTTTGCAACTGTTGGACTAATGATTACACCCTATATCAGCTAGATGCAGGCAAGAGTGTGCAAGGCGGTATTGAATGTCACCGTCAGCCCATGTGTCACAAAAAAAAACATCCTCCCTCATCTTAAACGTCACTGACCGCCACTGCTATATGTACAGTACATAGCTAGCTCAATTACCTCGTACCCCAGCACATTGACTCGGTACTGGTACCTCGTGTATATAGTTAGTGTTACTCATTGTCTCTTTTTTCTATATTTTTCTCTCTGCATTGTTGGGAAGTGCCTGTAAGTAAGCATTTCACTGTTAGTCTCCACCACAGGAGGCTGCTGAAGGGAAAACATCTCATAATAATGGCTGGAACGGTGCAAATGGAATGGCATCAAACACCTGGAAACCATGTTTTTGATGTGTTTGATACCATTCCAGTGATTCCGCTCCAGTCATTACCACGAGCATGTTCTCCCCAATTAATGGGCCACCAACCTCCTGTGGTCTACACCTGTTTTTTACAAAGCATGTGACAAGTTTAGCTGCTCAGCTCAATGTGAAAAGTCCCAGTACCACTACATATTGTCAATGTTTATATATGATTTATTTGATATTGATATATACATTCAAGGTAAAAGTTGTCCACACATCGGGAATAATTTAGATCGTCTATCTAAATAGACCAAAGGATGGCCAATTGGAGCGTGAATTCTGCCACCTTGTTGACACAGAGGCCTGTGGTACAGTATGTACATAGACATACACTCTTAGGAAAAAAAGGTGCTATCTAGAACCAAAAAGGGTTCTTTGGCTGTTCCAGGGAGAACCCTTTGGTTCTAGGTAGAACCTTTTTGGGTTCCATGTAGCACCCTTCCCACAGAGGGTTCTACATGTAACCCAAAAGAGTTCTACCTGGAACTAAAAAGTACCCTTTTGGAACCCAAAGAGTGGAGAGAGAGCTCAGATCAGATCAACGCACTGCTGCCTTCTCTCCTCTGCTCTGACAGAGAGCATATCTCTGAACCTTGGGATGAAACCGACAGACCCCCATAAATAAACTGGTGCACTAAATCATAGGTTTAGTAGGTTAGAATATGAAGCAATCCCCAGTCTGGCCAACTGAGATAACATAAAGCTTGAGATGTATAAATGAGGAAACTCATCACACCAGGTGTGAAGTCTTTTCTGTAGGGAGTAGCAACTCAGACGTAGACAAAAACAAACAAGGAAAGAGGTGGATATCTGAAAGTCGTCCTGCTTACCGCATGCCCACAGGTCCACAGCTTTGCCATATGGGTCCTTCCTCAGGACCTCAGGAGACAGGTAGCCAGGTGTCCCTGCAAAGCCTGCATCACATCCAGACAGAGGCAGTGAGTCACAGATAATACAGCTCAGTTGAAAATCAAATGCTAGTCAATAAGCAATGGGAAAACATGTCGAGATGCTTTTTCCCAGTGGAGATAAAGTTTATGAATTGCCTGGATGGGCTGTGAGACAGTGGATGCGGATTGATAATTCAAATGGAACCGCAGGCATTATCAGTGGATTATCTTGAATAACTCTTGAATAACATCCAGGATCCAAACTGACCATTTTATACATCTCTAGGAGGGATACTCTCAGTGAAAGTAAAAGAACAGGGTTATAAAGTATAGTATATGTATATAATGCTCTAAATACTGGCATCGTAATGCTATACAATACATAGTGATATAGGCTTCGATCAAAGGCACATGTTGTTTTATGTGTGAAGTGACACTAACCATATCAATCCATTATATACTGTAATACAATACAGTAAAGTGATGAGAGATAAGCACCTTAAAATTCTTGAATGCATAGAATACTTCAACCTTCGGAGCAATATAACAAAGAAAAGACAGAAGTCTTCCTGGAGCCCTCAACAATGGATAGAAAATCCATTGAGCACAGTGTTAAAGAGATATGCTCTGATAATTATCTTCTCCGGAATGTAAGAGAGAGTAATTAACTTAATAACATCATCCACAGGTTCCTGGGGCCACCTGCCTCACATTTCTCTCAACAGGGCTTCATTTGTGGTATGCAGTCCATATCCTTATTACCTACCCTAACCAGACAGGTTTCTAACGTTCTAGTGTAAGTCTGGTCATTAACTCTTTCTGAGGGGTGATGAGACCTTTATTTCACTCTTGTTTTAATGATTCACATCGTCTTCTCATGTTCCAGCCTTGTTTTGTTCCAGACATTGTGACACAGCAGATTCACTAAACTAAATAAATTTGCCCATGGGAGAGACTATGGATTGCAAAGCATGTGAAATGATTATCACTGACAATTAACAAGGTTGCTTGCTACTTGGATAGATTATGGATTATATATCAATCATCAAACAGAGAAGAAGAATACATTCTTCCATTTATTCTCCAGACCCATGGAACCAGCCTGGGGTTTGACACACTGTCAGCAAATTAAAGGTTGAAATATCGAGACTCATTTCCATGAATGTGTATGTGTTGGGTTGGGTAAGTTACTTTCTAAATGTAATTCGTTACAGTTACTAGTTAGCTGTCCAAAATTGTAATCAGTAACATTACTTTTGGATTACTTTCAGTTACTTTCCCCTTAAGAGGCATTAGAAAAAGACAAAGGATCCAAAGGATCCATCATAGGCATGTGTTGTGTCATCATAGTGGTCTCTGACTTGTGGTCAGACTCGCTCTGGTGGAACAAACATAAAGCTGCACCATTTTCTTCAATTCTGAATTGAATTTCATTGAGAAAACAGAAAGGTTTCATAATGTATATTTCTGCAAAAGTAATCCAAGAAGTAATCATTTAGTTTTTCAAAAGTATCTGTAATCTGACCACAATATTTTTGCTAGTAACGTAACTGATTACAGTTAAAACAAGTTTTTTTAATCAAATTACATGTAACTCCTTCCATGTAATCACTTACTCCCCAACCCTGATTATAATGAGCAGCAGAGCTGGATGTGACAGCTCCACCAGGCCCCCAAAGGATTTAGAACATCATCCTGATCTAAGAGAGGTGTGTCTTTAAAAATGAATTGTGAGTATTGGATAAGTGTCCTCTGGTTCATTAAAAATGAACTGAATTCTAAAAGACATTCCTAGTTCCTAGTTTTAAAACATTTATGGGTTGTTCAACCAAATGAGTGCCTTTTGCGTCTGTTTAATATTTTAAGTAGAAATTGTGCACCAATGTTTAATTTTAAAAGGCTGATATATTCAATGATGTGCCCTTTATTATAGACCACAAAGAGAATTCGATAAATCAGATTTGTAATATGAAAAAATACTTGCTAAAGTACCAAAAATCAGCATTTTCAGTATTCGTGCACCCTCTGTGACTTCCAGGAAGAGTTTAACCCACTTAACCCTAAAGTTTGTAAAGATCTAGTTATATTGTTGCTTTGACAAAGTCATTTCTAAAGATTATTATTTATATATGTGATTAGTGTGATTTCAATTTTTTTGATTCATTTTAAGTCAACCCTGTTACATGAACTGAACTCTCGTTTTAATATGGTGAAACTATACCTTTTTAAATATTTTTTCAAAAGAAACATTGAATGTCTAATAGTGAAATCATAGTGTGAAAGCAGGTGAGCTGGTTCTACTCTTTTTGGCCATTTGTTTTGGTGGTGGAAAACTAGTGGGTTGAGCATAACACGTCACAATCCTGTTACCCATAGATAAACAGAAATGAAATGATTTTAAAGTTTTTTTTTTTTTTAAGCTTGCAGTCAATTGCCCCTCCCTGTTGCACACAACAAGTTTCCATTTACCCTGTCACAAGGGGATTTATGTCTGATTTAATAAAGATGCACTATGCTGAAATCCCTCCACCATTACCTGGTTGCTAAAATTCTAATAGTTCAATTAATTTCAGTTTATGTGACAAAACAAGCAAGTATAGTGTAGAGAATCATTGTCCCTCTAAACAGCTGTGAAATGTATTTTCCATAACCAAAAATATTGTATTTTCAACTTTTTGAAGCTGGTGTACAAAACCAAAAGTAAAAGACACAAAAATGAAACTTAAGAACGGGAAGCATAGAAATATCGCACATAGAACAGATCTACCGCTTCTTAGACTTGCTTTCAATGAGAATGACAGATCTATAACTCACATTTCTATGTGAACTTGGTCGGGTCGCCCAAAAAGTTACATATTGCAGCTTTAAGATTAAATCATCAACCCTGTTACGGTCAACGCTGTTACGGTCAACCCTTATACAGTGGTTTGCAAAAGTATTCACCCCACTTGGCATTTTTCCTATTTTGTTGCCTTACAACCTGGAATTAAAATGGATTTTTGGGGGGTTTGTATCATTAAATTTACACAACATGCCTACCACTTTGAAGATGCAAAATATTTTTATTGTGAAACTAACAAGAAATAAGAAAAAAAAAAAAAGAAAACTTGAGCGTGCATAACTATTCACCCAGACACCCCCCCCCCCCCCCCCCCCCCCCCCCCCCCCCCCCTCCAGCTCCTTCAAGTTGGATGGGTTCCGCTGGTGGACAGCAATCTTTAAATCATACCAGGGATTGTCAATTGGATTAAGGTCTGGGCTTTGACTAGGCCATTCCAAGACATTCCCCTTAAACCACTTAAGTGTTGCTTTAGCAGTATGCTTAGGGTTATTGTCCTGCTGGAAGGTGAACCTCTGTCCCAGTCTCAATTCTCTGGAAGACTGAAACAGGTTTCCCTCAAGAATTTCCCTGTATTTAGCGCCATCCATCATTCCTTCAATTATGACCAGTTTCCCAGTCCCTGCCGATGAAAAACATCCCCACAGCATGATGCTGCCACCACCACACTTCACTGTAGGGATGGTGTTCTCGGGGGGATGAGAGGTGTTGGGTTGATGGACAAAAAGCTTAATTTTAGTCTCATCTGACCAGAGTACCTTCTTCCATATGTTTGGGGAGTCTCCCACATGCCTTTTGGCGAACACCAAACGTGTTTGCTTATTTATTTCTTTAAACAATGGCTTTTTTTCTGGCCACTCTTCCGTAAAGCCCAGCTCTGTGAAGTGTACGGCTTAACGTGGTCCTATGGACAGATACTCCAATCTCCGCTGTGGAGCTGTGCAGCTCCTTCAGGGTTATCTTTGGTCTCTGTTGCCTCTCTGATTAATGCCCTCCTTGCCTGGTCCATGAGTTTTGGTGGGCGGCCCTCTCTTGGCAGGTTTGTTGTGGTGCCATATTCTTTCCATTTTTTAATAATGGATTTAATGGTGCTCCGTGGGATGTTCAAAGATTCAGATATATTTTTTCAACCCAACCCTGATCTGTACTTCTCCACAACTTTGTCCCTGACCTGTTTGGAGAGCTCCTCGGTCTTCATGGTGCCTCTTGCTTGGTAGTGCCCCTTGCTTAGTGGTGTTGCAGACTCTGGGGCCTTTCAGAACAGGTGTATATATGCTGAGATCATGTGACACTTAGATTGCACACAGGTGGACTTTATTTAACTAATTATGTGACTTCTGAAGGCAAAGGGGTGAATACATATGCACACACCACTTTTCCGTTATTTATTTTGTATAATTTTTTGAAACAAGTTATTCTTTTCATTTCACTTCACCAATTTTGACTATTTTGTGTATGTCCATTACATGAAATCCAAATAAAAATCCAATTTAAATTACAGGTTGTAATGCAACAAAATAGGAAAAATGCCAAGGGGGATAAATACTTTTGCAAGGCACTGTACTTTATTTGGCACTTAATAGGCACTTACTAAAGTCATTGTTTAATTAAACCTCTTGAGATGGGATTTTTTTGTATTAAGTTGCACATGATGATGATAGAATGAAACCAGTTCAAAGTAGGGTGACCCAAATATGACAAATGACTGTAGTTGGTACATTGATAAAGTTTGATCATAAAGTTACTGGTCCCCTCCCCTGTGTCAAACACTTGGATTCAGGAGGCAGGCATTAGGATTTACTTTTGGCTTCATGCAACGTCACAAAATAGGTCTGGCTGTACAGGTCTGGCTGTACAACCGATTGGCAAACATACTGCAAATTGAGAAATTATGTGACTAAACTGAATAAAAAGAAGAAGAAACTACACAATGAAACAAAGATAAATGACCATAATTATGGTAAAAAGCTTTGGAGCACCTTAAATGAAATTTTGGGCAAAAAGGCAAACTCTGCTCCATCAGTCATTGATTCAGATGGCTCATTCATCACAAAATCCACTGATATTCCCAACTACTTTAATGATTTTTTCATTGGCAAGACTAGCAAACTTAGGCATGACATGCCAGCAACAAACGCTGACACTACACA